ATTACCAGCAATCTTCAAAATATCTTCTTTTGTGTTCAACATAAGAAAGCAACTCATACAGGTTTGGAACGACATGAGGGTGAGCAAATGATGACAGAATTTTCATTTTTGGGTGAACTATCCCTTTAATCACTACACATTTAAACCAGTAGGCCGCGACATTCAGCTGTTAAACTCAAGTCGCCAGTCAATGACGTCAGGGCACCAACCTTTCTGAAGAGCGCAGATGCAATTTATGAGCACAGAAGTTGGGCAAAATGTGTTTTAATGTCACTGAACACGATTTCTGTAACTCGAAACATTAGATACTATATCTATGTAGTTGTTAAGTGAAACTGTAAGTCATGTACAGTGAACGCGAGTGTTTGTATAGATGTAAACACGGTTCATTCACATGGACGCTATTTCTATCAGTCCTGGTGATAAAACAGCAGCAGTCTGTTATATCTTCATCTGTGGAGGTTCAAGTGAATGTTGACAAGCAACTACGAAATCTGAAGCACTTTTGGAGAAGCACTGGATTCTGGTAGGATAAAACTGTAATGTAAACGACCCCTTACTCAGTACCATGGTACAGTGAGTATAATACCATGGTACTACTATCGTTTTCTAGATACCTACGAAACCATTTCATCATTGGCAGTGCATGTAAATACCATGGTATGTGAATTTCATTACCATGGCATTACCGTCTGATATAATCACTGTATCATGGTACTGTTTTAAGGGAATGAAGCTTGATTGCATATTCATATATCGCAGTGTTTACATGATACTCCAAAGTAAAGAATACCATAGTGTAGTTATACACATGTACTACAGTTGTAGAACCTTGAAAATAAAGCCCAAAAGAAAAGTTTATTAAGAACTAGGGCTGCACAATTAATCGAGTTTCTAATCGCGATTACAATTATGGATGCCACAATTACGTAATCGTTCAAACCGGCAATTAATCGTTCAGAGTCCACTTGTGTTATTCTGTGCTTAAGATGCTTTTTTTTTCTTCTACATGTTATCTTAAGGGTTTTTCCATGGTTTTAATTTTAGTTTTAGTATAACACTATAATACCATTTATATTTGTACTTTTTTATAATTTAAAGAAGAGACCAATCCGATGTATAGTTGACATTTGAGGCTTAATACTATAGAAAAGCACTAAAAGTTTTTCAGTTAGTGTTTTCAGCTTGTTTATTTTCATATAAAAATACGGCATGCAGTTGCATCAAACAATGGTATAAACATCATTCAATGTAAATTGTGATTAATAATCGCAATTACAATTTCAAGGGAATAATCGACAATTATGATTTTTGTCATAATCATGCAGCCCTATTAAGAACTAGAATCTAAAATCATATTGCGATATCTTTAATACTTCTTGAGTTATAGGCATGCAAACTTTGGAAAAAGAATACTTATGGCACTCAGACATGCTAAATGCAGTTATTTTGACAGAAGGAAACGAGATACATTTTTAATTTCAACTTTTTGTTCTTCAGACATTCCTCTTTAAAAGAAAAGAAGTATCATATTTATGCAACGTGATCCACATTTGGTTTTTGACCATTGAAAATGTGCACAATTTAACAATTTACTGCTGGAGCAATATTGAAATTCCAATATCTCTGGAAGTGAACCAAATGAAGATGTCAAAAGGAAAGTTTGTTAAGACCCAATATCAAAAAGAGCATTAAGATATCTTTAATACTTCTTAAGTTACAGGCATGCAAACTTTGGAGAAAAAACTTGAAAAGTGCTCTTTCCCCATTTTTGAATGGTCACCATTGGCACATAATGCAACAAAGATTGCTAAAGTCAACAGATTTTGCTAACAGACCTACCAATCTCTGTGTAAAAGTAACATCATGATGCTGGCACCTTTCTGAAGTCATTTTTAACCCCCTGTAATATGGCTCTGTATCTCAGGTGAAAACTGCCATTTTGACCACCCTCTACAAAATAGTGGATTACTCAGTAAATATACAACTGTGACATTTAATATTTTGTCTTTCATCACTGTGCATGTTTATCTTTCTTCAGAAAAAATATTAGCAAAATCAAAAATCTGAGCCGGGGGCCTCTGGCACTCTTTTGTTAGTGACATCTGCAAGCATTTCAGGAAAACCTTGTCTGTGTAATTGTTTTAGTGGGTAAAAATCACTAAGCACTCAATTAACTATTGTCTCTTGTTTTTGCAGCCCTCCACAGCCACACACTGATGCACACCTGTATGATCTCAGTCCAGACCAGCAGATGAATCTGGCTTTGATCGGCTCTGTGCCGCACAGAGGAATCCAGCAGGTGCGGATACACTGGATGCTGGAGCTGGTGTCCGCACGGTCAGTTACACCATATTACCACAGTCAACACTTTCTCTTCTTCTATTTGGTAAATGTGAAATAGTAAAATATACTTTGCACATGTTAATGTGCAAATATCAAGATTGATATCAATATGCATATGCATCTCTCTGTTTTTCTTTGATTGTGGTTTAACATTGCAAGTAAGCAGTGCTATTTCCATAAGATATTATTTCCAAGAGCATGTGTTGCGTGTGTGTGTGTTTTTTAAATAAGTTTCTAATGCTGAACATGGCTACATTTATATGATCAAAAATACAGTAAAACAGTAATATTGTGGAATAATATTATAATTTAAAATAACTGTTTTCTATTGAATATATTTTAAAATGTAATGTATTCCTGTGATGCAAAGCTGAATTTTCAGAAGCCATCACTCCAGTCTTCAGTGTCACATGATCCTTCAGAAATCATTCTAATATGCAGATATTAATACTGATATTAATATGCATTTACATCTATCTATGTAAAAATCTGTGATTGTTGTGTGCAGTGGTATTTAAGATTACGATTTTGAAAAAGATTACGTATAAGATTACGTTTTCTTAGTACGTTTCCTTCATCTTTCTTAATATCATATCTAGACTTAGGTCTATATCTAGACTTAATATTAAATACATCTTTTATATTGTCTGCTGATTCTTCATGCATCAATGTTACACTTTCATCTCCATGTAAACTATACTGTAGTTATGCATATATGCTGTACTATAGTTATGTAGTATGCATAATACATAAAATACAAACATTATGCACATGCATTTTTTTGTGCATTAACAAATAATCTTTAATTAAATGCATTATTTATGTCTCTTATTTTGGCTATTCTTCATGCATCACTGTTACACTTTCATCTCCATGTAAACTAGAAGTAGTGCACTGTAAGATTTTGTCTCTGAATTTTGTGTAGAGTTTACAGTGGAGAATATCACTACAACTTCACTCACTTAGACCAGCTGATTGACCTCCTCTGGCAAAATGGACTGCAGCCGGGTAATTTTCTAAATATTACAGCAAAATCCACATTTGAATGCTTGTGAAATTTAGAATTAGGGCTCTGCCACTAGGGTTAATTTAACACAAATTTGCATTGTGTTAAAGAGGATTGGTTCTTTTTAAAGGGTTTGAACTGATGGGCAGCGTGTCCAACACCTTTAGCAACTTTGAGGACAAAAGACAAGTTACTGAATGGAGGAATTTGGTCTTTTTGATCGCCAAAAGATACATATGTGAGTATGAGACTGAGGTCGTGATATCTTAGGTTGTGATAGATCATGAATCACCTCTTGTGGATTTTGAACATTTTGTTTACTAGTCCAGATCTTTACCACAAAGCTCCAGAAGTTCTGACTGTATTTGTTCCTGTTGTTTTGTATGTGTGTGCAGGGAAATGCGGCCTCGGCTTTGTCTCTCAGTGGAACTTCGAGACGTGGAATGAGCCGAACAACCACGACTTTGACAACATCACTGTGTCAATCCAAGGTACAGTTTAAAAACTATTTGTTGTTGTCTGAGCCAAAGCCCTGTCAATCTTTCTCAATCAATTTGAATTGATTTTATTAGTGATCTCAAACCATCCAGCACCACCAACAGCTCAACTGTTGATCTTACAGTAAGTTTCTGTTTATAAGTTTTGATCAAAATGGACTAAAAACAAAATATTCCTAGATTCTTTGAATCATGCTGAATTAATTAATATTTTCTGACAATTACATTTTTTCTAAACCTACTGTTTCAAATTTAGAAAACCTTTCTTGAGAAATTTTCTGTTCCTCTTTTGTAAGTCGCTTTGGATAAAAGCATCTGCTACATGCATAAATAAAATGTACAACTGTATATTTTTCTTATATTTTTATTTTAGTTTTGATACATCCTGCCACGAGTG